CCAGTGTCTTTGTTTACATGTCTACTTTGGCTTCTCTTCTGTTTACGCTAGTATAAGCGCTTATGTATTAGTTTGTTTTATGTATTGTGTTCTTTTTTGGTTTGTTCATTCTTCGCTCAGACTCTAACTTTTTTTAAATTGTCCTCACTTTTAGTGCCCGAACTGTCATCGGGATTGACTGTCTCACCGTCTAACATCATCAATACTGTGAACCGCCGGTTGTTAGACGTGAACTGCTCGAGGTCAACCGCGCGAAAGTCGCCATCCCGAAGTCGGATTCCACAAGCTCCTTTCGTTAATCTCGGTTTCTCTGCCGACAGTGACGTGGATCGCACAGTGGTGCAGGATCGTTTAGCCTCGCGATCTAAGTGCCGTGTACACCCATTGAAAAACAAATCTCACTCTTTCTGTGTGTACGTCTGATTTGCATGTCTGATCGTTGATGCACACATGCTGCTATAATTCATTTTCTATCATAATTTGTTAACATGTCATACATATAAAGTCCAACTTACTGTTCCGTGTTTGACAAGGGTCACCGTAACAATCATTTCTCGTTCATCAAAGGAGAATATGCATCAGATTTCTAAGCTCACATCTCACACTAGAGATTTATCTGTCTTTTCTGAGAAGTGAATAAGCAATATTCTTTCAGTTAGATGCCATCAGGTCATCTACGCTGAATTCAACAATTGGTTTCAGGTCCCCACCGAAGGATGCGTGCATCTCCCGATTGCAATCAGTTAGGTTCAGCTCGTGCGGTTTACCGCCCATCAATGTGCATATGAATGTTTTATGTGTATCCGTCCTCCTCTTCGTTAACATTCCACTTCGTCATTTCGCTGCAGGTTAACTTCCTTCGTTACATAATACATAATACTAACAATGGTAATAATGTTTTAGTTTCGGTACCCTTGATCGAATATACAGGTATACAGTCAGTTTTCCCGGGCAATGCTGTGGTCAGTCTAAGGCTACCTGGGAACGCGAAAGATAAATGAGGTGGGCGGCTACGGTGATATTCAAACGCATGACCCGCTGGGCACTATAACGATCATCTCAACTTGATCATCGCCACCCTGAATGGATAAGGGAGAGGAGACGTCACCACCTTCGATTAAATCTGCATTAGCTCATTTTATGGTGACAAAATGCCTGCAAATTCGAAGTCGGGTGCTTCGGCAGCCTGCTTTATTGCCTCTAAGACCACCAATTGTCATCTGAGACGAATTTATTTATTTGTTTTAAAGGGTCTTATTACTGTGTGACTACTGAACTAGAATTCTCTGTTTTCTATATTTTTCAATATATTGGGGCTATATAATTTATCAGGTTTCTTAACCCGGTTGATCTGCCTGTAACCACCAACTGATACTGTTTCTCATTTCTTCAAATTGGCTTCTCTGAATCAGTGATCGTCTCGACTGTGCAAACCAATCGTTGCATCCTTCGACTGTCCTAGCAAAAGCCAACTCCACAGAATTGAATTCAGTCAAAATGCATGAGTTCACTCCGGTGTGGGCTGGTCCACTCAATGGTAATCCCGACCGTTCGCATTCCTTATCCAGTCGGCTGTCTCGACCACGTTTGACCCGCTCCGTGTCTCCGGACGACTCGCGTCATTCAACGTGTGCTGACCCCAAGCGAGGCTTGTTCTATCCATCGACTGTGCAATGGTGGGATCACTACTCATCCGGTTCGATCAATCGAAAGGCAGTGTTCACACTAGGTGCGTGACTGTGTCACAGTTCGTCTGAGACCTGCAGTCAGACGGTTTTTTCTGTTCTACGTTGCAAATTTGATTCAGACATAAGAACTGCATTTGCCAGGATTGAGAAACGTTGTTTCCGCCAACTCACTGCATGAGAATGACAACGGGAGCCTCGCTGGAATTACTCTACTCAGTCGTTCACCCAATCACTAGATCTATTCTAAATGTTGAAATGTGGTTAACAACGATGCGTGGTATATGGATACAGCATTCCTCGTTCCGAATTCACAATTCCTGACAATCTGGAATCGTTTTATGCAGAATAAATCATTCCACATGTGTATATTCCTATTTGCTTATGTTAACCCCCTAGGTTAATCACAAATATGCCCCCTCCCTTCATACAATTTAATTTAATTTCAAACTCGATTAAATGCATAAATTACACTGAAACCTATACACTTTAAGAAGCTCACACCCAAGAACATCAAGAGTGCCTGGCGCCTCTGAAAAAATAGAATGGATTACTCCAAGCTTGATATTCCAAATTGATTGAGCCATTCGCACAAGGTGATAACCGTCGACCGTGTAGCTCAAGGGTAAGGGTTTGAAGTCCCAGCCCGAAGAATCGCGGTTGGGGTTGGAGTCCTGACAGGGACACAAAAAATTACGCACTGCTGACGAGTCCCAAACCGGACGAAACAGCTATCCAGTGCTCTTTGTTGGTTATCACAAGCATTTCCATCGCATTTGAATCATATGTAATATGTTGAACTCAAGGAAATAACTGCGTGTGTCACAGCTACCGCGGGTTCTGAACCCGTTCGATAAGCCTGCTCATAAGACTCCTCTGTCTGCCTAAATTCCACCTTATCTAAATCTATTCCTATTCCTCCAGCTAAGTACAAGCATTTTGACACACGTGCCCATCCTCCATCCTATGTTTCCATTTAAGCATGAAAAAGAGGTTAATTACATAAGATTATTTTCCAATGAGGATGTATATCAGAACTCGAAGTGATCCACTCTATGCTCGGTCAATCGACCCAGCAGTCTGTGCAACTCATTCCTAGTTGATTGATCTCTTGCTTAGTTGGTAGATTCTGTATTGCAAGTGATTGATACAATAGAAAACCATTCGCTGGTGTAAATACCTAAATGATAATGACTGATTAAGCGATTCGTTTCCAGTCGCCGGTTGATAGTCTTTCGTCTCGAATCTCAGTTCACACTTCACTGCTGGATGCAATTTCGACAAGCTTTATATCTAGAGTAGCTCAAAAATTCACAGATATTTCTTGTCGTCACATCACATCGAAAGGAAACTGTCTTGCACTCGATTGATGTATACAACTGTATTTCTCTTTCGATGACTACCACCTCTATGCTGTATAGATTCGTCTCTAGACGGGGATTTTGTACCGGTGACTAGACCGGCAGATGGTCGCGATCCAGTACCTTTTGTCGNCGAGGGAAAACATCTTTTGTTGCCCGGACGCTCGGATTTCGAGGACGAGCTGGTACGTGAAGTCGCTCATTTTGAATTGGCCGAATTTCTCATTGGTGACTTGGAGGCGTTGAATACCATGTCTCAAGCGGCCTCGATAGCCGTGGACCCCGATCAGTCGGATGAGCAGATGTTGGATATAATTCGCTCAGTGGTTCTTGCACGTCCTAATCGAGCTCCGGCCCCATCGACTTCCATCGGCCGTAAATCGATCCATTCTAGTCTTGGATTCCTCGCGTTTGTTGACCCTCAGGTAGGATAGAATAAGACAAATTTCTTTTGCGCGGTATAATGAATAAACTCAATTGATGATCCTAGTCGAAACCGCTCTCGATGCTTTTCGCTTTATCCTACCTGGTCGATTGACTTCTTTGCACAATAATTTCGTGCGTTTTCATCCCCAAAGCTGGTTACCTAGTCTGGTAAAGAAACCAATTCCACTATATAATAATAATAATAGTTCAAATCAATCGCTCAGGTCAGCTAACCACTTAACCTGAAAGGCTAACGTATATCGATTATTTTGTCTTATATTTCACGCCCACACCCATACACGTGACTAAGTTCTCATTGAAGGTTAGTGAGATAAGACGGTTTATAGACTACTCTATCAAAACAGTTGTTTGCATTTGTACTCCCCTGCTTCAGGTTGTTTGATACCACAACCTGTTGTCTTTCTATCTTACTATCCTTGCTCGTGGACGTGGGCTATCGAGCACGATTTGTGCGATCTCGCACTGTAGTGCATTTTCTTCACAATGTCTCCTAACTCATTTTGGGGCGTGTGGGGGGGGGGGGAGTTATGAATATGGCAATCGCACGTATGATTACAGTTTCATTTATATTTTCAGACACAATGAAACTGAAAGTCGTATCATTGCATATTCGATAAAAAGGAAGTAGATATGAAAAAGCTGGGTTTAAATTTGGACGCTACATATAGGCAAATCCGTCAGCTTGATGTTGCAGCATAAGAACCATGGTCTGACGTATGTGTAGACGCGTTATCCTGTTGAACAACTCTGGGTTTCGCACAGGTGGAAATTTTTGATAAGTGTTTAGGTTAGGCGTGGATGTTTGACAATCGTAACCATCTCCTTATTGTCCTGCAATGAACCTCCATCCCGCTCCTTAATAAACTCACCATCGAACGACCTGAAATCGAGGTAATTCGTTTTTGTGTGCCATCTAAGCCAATTTTAAAGCAGCCTTCACGGTATCCAAAACAAACTGTTTGGTCATCGTTGAAGACTACTCCGCTCCACTGCTCAGTCCATGTCATAGACCTTTCTGTCCTTCTGGAGCGCTAACACGTCGGCTGTTGACACCCGCCAGCATTGTATCAACTTCCGGTGGTGAAATTGTGACTTGCATCTCGGTTTCCAGGTCCATTGCGACCAGTTTTTCTGCACCGATGCAGTGTTATCGCATCACCCGTCTGTATGTTGTACTTTTTATCTCCAGACTATCGCCTTATCGACCAAACGTGTTCTTTCTGAGTTAATCAGTAGTTTGTTCACTCTCTTTGTTATTTCCCCTTTGCTGACGTTTTTTTCCGCAGAGGCATAAATTTGCGGGCGTTGTAGGTTGTACAAGGGCTTTCCATGTGGCCTCACCACCTGTTTGTGGTACTGCGTGTGCACTAGTGTATGAGCTGTTGTTGTGTTAACGGTCGTGTCACATCGGCACATGATTTATCTGACCTATTGGAATTTAACAGTTCATTATAGTATCCCGTTTACTGAAGGCATTTACTAGGTCGGTCAAGGTTGTACGCCTTCCTCTAGAGGCCATGGGAATTACGCTCAGACTCAGACTATCCATCAACTGTGAGGCACTCTTTTTTGTCTACCAGAACAAGCAACTCGAATACTCTTCATTGATTGATTGTATCAGTAGTTGATCAAGATAGCTGGCATTATGACGATGTCCTGACCGTTTCTGTTTTTTTGCACTGTCGGAGAAAATTGCTCAGACCTCATATTACGTGCAAGAATAATCACAGGAAATCCATTCGTTGCAGAATCGAATAAAAATAGGTGAATCCAAGGTGTTCACTTGATGTCCCTGAGCCCAATCATATGTGTATAATATTCCTAACAGATTTCCACCCTATACTCTGTTTGGTCTATCCGTGATTTACACAGTTCAGAGGTAACGAAGTGAATTGGTCATATCTGAACAAAAATTCTCGTCCACCATGTGGTTTCCTTCATTACTTCTCAAATGGGATTTAAAAGTGCGAACCTGTCATCGCGTTCTCCGCACCAATCTGAGTGTTTCAAGGGAATCGATAGTCTGGAACACCATAGATCCCCACTTCACATTTTCGATCGTTCTTCTGCTTAGATTAGAGTGATCGTCATCATCAGGGTACGTTGAGATGCAGTGAAACGAACTTTATTGGTCACTATGATACATTCGTTGTATTTTGATGAATAGCTATTTTTTTCTCTCGACCGAAGCCTTTGGTTCTGATAAGAATCTAGCAAGGTAAAGACTAAAGGGGAGTGGAGGCCATCTACTTGGATGGAATAGCGATCCAACATTTGTTTATTAACTGAGGTGCCAATTCGAGTTGAACCCCCCGATCTGGAGCACTGGGAGATTGAACTTCATCTGTCCTCTACCCTTCAACCTTTCAGTCATGATTAGATCCTCAGGCGTGACGAAAGCCGCTCTATGTGGCTCGTCGAATCGTATAGATACACAGGCCATCGTATTATGTCAAGGTACAGTCTCTTCGCGATGGTGATGGAGTGAACGTGGATCCCAATCGGTTGCAGCTTTAACTGTTTTCGAAAATCATGTATCTTTTTACTCGTAGTCTTGGTTCAGCACGTTGTGGTTTAGTTCTACGTCGGATCACGGGAACGGTCTCAGTAGTCACTGCTTCTGATTCCCAACACTGTTCACACGGATCTCTGAGTCGACATCCTCAAGGTGTATGTCTATTGTGTGAACAACTACTGGCAGTCCGTCCTGTACGTCTTGTGTTCGGGTAGTGGCATAAAGTATCGTCGCTGTTTCTTGTTCTCTCCGATCGAATTTTCTGCCGCGTGATCCCGACAACTGGTTCGACTCAAGGAATGTTCACAGAGTTGGCAAATTCTCTAAACCGTTAAATTTCGGCTTTGGATGAATTGGTACAACAAATAGGACTTCTTTCACATGTCTCCCAACTAGAGAAGTACAAACTGAAACCTCGCATCTTTTCAATTGTTGCACTTTACCACCTTTATTTTCCTCTGAAATGATTTGTCTGCGTTTTTCAGATGCAGTCATGAAATACCCATATAACGACCAATCAAATTTGCTGTTGGAAGCTTTTGCTGAAATTTCGCCTGAACAGTAACATACGACTGCAGTCCACGTGCGCAGACACGTTTTTTCCAAACTCCTCATCACTACACTTATTGGGTTTATTTAGTTTGTTGTTGTTGTGTTCTTTACCAAAATAATCCGCACCCTGTTGATTCCCGTTCAGAATCCACGTGTAGTTCCAACGACACGTAATTGTGCTGTGCAACATCCAACTAAGGACGAGGGGCCCAGTCCGTTTGCCGATCTGTTCGGTGTTGTTCAACAAGGCCTATTTGTCAATGTGGACGGATCGGAGGATTTCAGTGCGCGAATGCCTACTTCATTCAATACGACCGGGACAAGTTCGGCTCACCTGTTCAGTCCTACATCATCTACAAACGAACCGGACGAAGCAGATCCTTATAGTGACGAGATGGATTTGGCCCAGAGCCGTGTGGTGACCACTTTGGCCTCGTGTCTGCTCACCTCCTGCTTGGAAGGAGTAGCCACTGAGCCACCCGATTCACCCGCGCGTCAGTTTCTGAAAGATCTGCACCAGCTAGTGGTGGTCAGTTGTGATGCAGACTGGGCATTCCGTAACCCTGTTGGGTT